GACGATAATATATTTGAAAATGGGGAATGATCAAACGGAAATGATAAAAGTTTTAGAATATGAATTACGATTGTGTGTGTGTGTGTGTCTTGTCTCAAAAATTGATTAAAACAAATGATAGGCTTCAATTAATTGTCATAATGTGAAAAGGCGAAAGAGAAAGAAAGAGAGAGAGAGAGAGAGAGAGAGAGAGACATTAATCAGAGCGATGATCAGGCAAGTTGATTGTTTTACGTTTATATACTTGACCGGAACTGACTAGCCTTTTCTGGGTAGATAGTTATACTCTCCGATGTTATATATATATATATACAATGGAAAGGAAACCAATTATCATTTCACATCAGGACAATTACCGACAACTGCGACCGATCGGGAACGTCGCAGCTGGATAGTAGGAAACACGATTTGTACTATCCGGATCCCCGACGACCAAATCAACTACGTGAAATCCCTTCGGGAAGGTGAAACTTCTCTGAACGACGAACGCGAGTTGAATTTTAAATAGAACTTCCCCCCGAAATTTGCATTTTCTTTTTTTCTTTTCTTTTTTTTTTTTTGAGATGGGGGCTCGTAACATCCGCTTTAAAGGAATCCTTTAAAAATTAATCTTGAAACGATAAGTTGAATCGCTTTTGCGCCAAAGGAGTTTTCAGTTGCAATTTGTCGTGAGAAAAAGAGGAGACACTATATGTATATATATATATGGAAACATGAACGAATGAGAGATGGAAATTGCCAGTCTCGATAAATCGAAAGATTTGTGTGTGTGTTACCATATCGAGTTGCTTCATATTCTGCAGGCAGAATTTTTCTGCAGTTTTCACGAATACACCCGCGTCGTATATCGTATATTAAATTAAAATGGAAATAAGGTCACACGATCTACTGTTATTGGGGGTTTATGCTATGGCGAACGATATATCTGTTTGTTTACTGTTCCCACTAAGCAAGACAAATTACCCCACGATTCATTTCATTTTAAGTAAGTCAATTTTCTTCTTTGACGCAAATCACTTTTTGCGCAAAAAGATTTTTCGCATTTTATGAAAATAAGTTAATTTTTTTCTTTTTTACATTTTTTATAACTATTTTCTTAATAAGAATTATAAAAATAATTAGAATTTTTAAAGAATTTTATGTTGGATATAATATTATTATTTAGACCAATTTTCATTTTTTGAATTAGCCTTTAGTATATGGAATTTCTTTTCAAACGAATTTTTACTTAACAAAATTTTCACCAAACCGGAATTTGGCGAAATTTTTATTTCACAGAACTTTTTTTTAACACAACTTTTTTTTAAAAAGAATTCTAATTTAACCGAATTTTAATTTAGCATAATTCTCATTTAATAGAATTTCAAGTGATTCGAATTTTTAAATGTCAATTCACCGAATTTTCATTTTGTTGGAATTTTTGTTTCCACGAATTATTATTCGATATTATTCTCGAAAACGACGAATCTCTATTTGTCCGAAATTACAAATGTCTAAACAAACATAACCTACAAAAAAGATTTAAGGGCAATTTTTAAAATTGACCAATCAGAAATTATGAAAAAAAAATCGTGATTGGTAAATTTTCAAATTAGCGGACGTCGATGAAGTTCACAATATTTATGATCAACGATTGAGAAGAGAAAATATTTTTCTATGCAAATTATTTATTTATTTATCCAACAATTTTTTTTTTGCAACGTTTCTTGATCAATAATTTTTTGAAAAAAAAATTAGTTCTTATTTTTTGAGTGAAAAATATATTGTTTTTTTTTTAATCGTTGATCATAAACGTTTCAAACTTCACCAACGTAATTAGCGGCAAAATCTTTCTGTCGATTATTATTTGTTTGGCCATTTGCAATTTTGGATAAATGAAAATTTCTCGTTTTAATAATTCGATGAAATAACAATTTATGCAAATAAAATTTTGGACAAATTAAGAATTGGTTAATTGAAAATGCTAGTGTTTAAAAATTTGAGGCATTTAAAATTCTATTAAATGAGAATTCTGTTAAATTAAAATTAGGTTAAATTGGAATTAGAAATTAAAAATTTGTGTAAAGAAAAATAGGAGCGATTAAAAATTTAGTACTCTCTAAATTTGAATCAGTGAATTTCACTGCTAACCAGTTATAATTATACAAAACCAGTGAAATTTGACTAATTGGTTCAGTGAAATTTCACTGGTTTGGTATACTTATAACTGGTTAGCAGTGAAATTCACTGATTCAAATTTAGAGAGTACCTAAAAATTATGTAAAATAAAATTAATTTTATTAATAACCCACAATCAATAACATTCAAAAAGCTTTAAAAGTAAAATTAAATTAAACCAGTTTTAATAAAATTAAAGAAAACTTAAATAAAAATAGGAATAATCACCCAAATACTTGAATGAAATAAAAATAAAAATTATGTTAAAAAATTTAAGAAAAAAAAAAAAAAAAAAGAAAGAAATGAATATCTCTCTGACACTAATTAGAAAATGATACGAATCTCCTCTATCACTGTATTATATTGCGCGTCACGCTTTAATTTACGAGTTTGTTTGTGATGTCAAAAGTGGAAATTGTTAAGACAACATTCTTGAAGCTTCAATTAATAAATTGGTTTTCCTAGTACAAAAGGCACTTAGGTGCATTATTTTACTTTGTAACCATCGAGAAATTCATTAGGGAAGGGAACTTTCGTAGTACTTGGAAACTTACCTTATGTATATACCTTTTGTGCTTGCATATACCATAAAATTGTATCTTGACACAAGAAGAACATTATATAATCTCCATCTATATATTTATATAGCGTATAACATGAAAAAAATTAGCAATTATTTCAATAATATATCTCGTGAAGGAGAAAATTGATATTATTTCCACAAAACCATTAAATGTCACTATATATATAGAGAAAAAGAATAGTTACTATCCCAATTTTCAGGAGAAATTTTCTGGTCCATAGTTTGCTATATATTTCTCCTTGAATGAAGGTATTTAATGTCGCAGTAATCTTAAAATGTTATTATGATCACACATTCATTCTGATAACAATAATGGTACGTATAATTGATGTTTTCGATTTTGTATCTGAAAGCTATAAAATTTGATATAAAAGTAATATAACATTTTATCATTTTCATTGCTGACGAGGTCAGTATTTTTGTTAAAAACTGATATCTCTACTTTCCAGTTATTTTTTTGTTTTCTTTATTTGCGGGAGTAAATTATTCTCTTCTGAGATATGATTTAAAATTAAGTAGAGAAAATATAACTAATATTATATGATAAAGAAAGATTTATTTTCCATGACTTTGATTTTTTTTTTTTTTGTTTCGTGTAAATTATTCAAATTCAAATGGTTTTCGCGCCGTAGCGCTACCGTCGATTTTGTCAGATATAAAGTGTGGAGAATATTCATAATTTATAGTATAGAATAAAATAACATTGATTAAATAAAAGATTAATTTTGAATAAAAAAAAAATATATAATCTAAATTAAGTTTTAGGGAAAATAAAACAAGTTTTAATTTTAATTCTTATAGTTATTTTTATTAATTAAAATTTTAATTATCTGAAATATAACATATATATATAAAATTGGATTTTAAATATTAAAATTATAATTAGAAATTGAATTTTCAATTTTAAATGTATATTTGAATTTCAACGATGACGCAAATTTTGAAATGTAACAGTAATTATAATATATAGTTTAATGATAATGATACTGCAATTTTGACTCTAAGTTTAAGTTGGTAAGTTACCAGCCGTGAAATATAAACGCTATTGGATATTTAATTTTATATGTTCAAAGTTTTGGAGGAGTTTCCAAGTTTCAACTCGAGAAAATATTGAAGTCATCCAATTTTCAAAACTTAAAGCTTTTAATCATCTAGCATCGAAACTTGGAAAATTTTATCGCTTATTTCGATATTACCAGACAATGACCTGGATTAATTATAATAAGTATAATATATAGATTTTAATTAATGCAAAAGTTAATTTATATAAATTATTAATCTCATTTTTAATTTATCCATTAGCTTTAAAAATTTCAGTTTAATAAATATTTCATTGATTTAGAAAAAAAAAAAAAAAAAAAAAAAATTCTAATAAGATAATTATTTATTAAAAATACTGAGAATATCATTAACTATTATATTATTAATTAGATTATATATAAAAATTATTCTAAATTAATATTCTTATATATTAATTATATTAAATGTCAATATTATTATATTTTAATTTTATTATCTATTATAATAATAATAATAGTAATTAAATATATTATAATTATTATAACCGTGTAGAAATTCAATTTTTTTTGTAGAAAAAACGATGTTAATTTAAAAAAAAAATTGATGAATTTTAAATTTGGCGCCATTATGAATTGTTTATAGAAGGTGGCGCTGTTAGTTTTTTCAATGTTATATGGTTGGTAGTTATAATTGGCAATTTACAAGTTCCTAACATAATTTTTTTTTCATTTTTAATGTTCGTTTATTATAAAAAAAATAATTTAAATTTATATTCTTATGAATAATTACTTACTATTTGACATTATATTTCTTATACAATGTTAAACGAAAAGGTTAATATATTAGTAATTGTAAAGTTTTGCTGGAAAAAAAGCGTCAAATTGAACGCCTCGTGGGTACTATGGGAAACTCATTATAAACTTTACGTTAGCGCCAGGCATATGGTTAGAGGAACTTTGATAATTTGATGACAGAAAATTATTTCTCGGTAAAACGATCTTAGTATTATTATTATTATTATAAAAATAATAATAATTATTAATTTTATTTGAATTAAATAAACTGTATTTAAACCAATAATTTTTGTATATATGAAATAAATTTAATTGATTTAAATAATAATTATTTGCTTCAAGGAAATATTTATTTGATAATAGTCAATTATTTGAATCAAATAAATTTTTTTCAGTCTACTTTTAATAATAAATAACGTATTTGTTTTTTTTTGCAATTGTTACAGAATTTGGAGGAACGTGAAAGAAAAAATTCGGTGCACAAAGAACAACTGCACAGAGAGCAGAGGTTTCTTAGGCGAAAATTAGAGCAATTGTCAACTCAAACAGGTCTTAATCTAAATGGTTTTCATGGCCTTCATGGACTTAGCTCTAGTGCACCGACAGGTTCATCCTGTGGTTCAGCGGCGGCGGCAGCGGCAGCAGCCGCCACCCTACTCTCTAAGAGACGAAGTGTATCTGAATGCTCGGTAGGAACAGCCTCTTCAACAAGCTCCACAGCGAGCTCTAGGAATTCGGACAGGTCTGCGGGCAGTCCATCCGTCTCCGAGTCTGGTAAGTCGTCTTTTTTTTATCGAACAATAATTTTCTATCGTTTTTTTTATCTCTTTTGAAAATTTTTTTCAAAGAGAGCTTCTTATCCATCGCGCTTTTCTTATCAAAATCCCATATATATATACATTTGTCGAATAGCCATACACTATTTCCGAGACTTGCTCTTATGATCCAGACTTTTGAAAAGGCTCTATTCACGCCCCCGTAGTCTTTCCTCTTTTCAGAGAAGCACGAAATTATCGGAGATCCCTCGCGATTAGAAAGACTTAATCGCCAAGTTCTTTACTTCTTGAAATTGAGACGATAGCGAAACTCAAGACCTGGAAGTGTTCAATATAATACCTCAATGAGGTTTTTTTTTTCAAAATTGAGAATTCTATTTCTATATATGGGTGATTCTCCGCTTAGCGTACAATTTAGTTATTGCTATTATATTAATTTTTTTTTTATAATTTAACAAAAATTATATTATAATCTTCAGGGTTAGTGCTCAAAAATGAAATATCCAAGGTGCATCGGATAAAATATTCATATCCAATGGGAAACTGCCACAAGTAACCAGTGGCGTATTAATTGGCCCAATGATGGGAGCCAATGAAAATACCATTGGCACCTAATAAAGGACCATTAAATTGGTAAAGTCATGGGCTGTCCACGCCGATGCCAATGATTGGCAACCATCATTGGCAAATTATTGGCAACCAATAATTAGCCAATATTAAAAATTTTAATAATAATTTTAAAAAAATTTATTTTTTAATAGTTATTATTATTATTTTATTTTTAATAATTAAATTAAAATAAAAAATGGTCATAAAAGTATTAGTGAAACCATTTCTTCGAAAAAAGAGTTTATCTCAAATCCAATAAATAGAAGAGTCATCGAACAGAAAAAAATTTCGACATGAAAAAGAATTTTCGATCACTGCTTATATACCATTCTAATGGCACCTCAACTGCGAGAAACAGTTATGATGTTCGCCCTCCCTGTGGCGTTGAGCGAACTAAAGTCCCGAGCTGAGCCATCAGCGCAGCGCGGGAACATTTGAAAAATTTGATTTTATTAGATATTTTATTTTATAATTAACGAATTATTAATTATGACATTATATTATTAATAATTATTTATGACATTAAATATTTATTAAGTTAATTATTTGTCATATTTAAAATAAAATATCTAATAAAATCAAATTTTTCAAATGTTCCCGCGTTGCGCTGATGGCTCAGCTCTGGACTTTAGTTCGCTCAACGCCACAGGGAGGGCGAACATCATAACTATTTCTCGCAGTTGAGGTGCCATTAGAATGGTATATAAGCAGTGATCGAAAATTTTTTTTCTTGTCGAAATTTTTTTCTGTTCGATGACTCTCCTATTTATTGGATTTGAGAGAAACTCTTTTTTGGAAGAAATGGTTTCACTAATACTTTGATGACCATTTTTTAATTTTAATTTAATTATTAAAAATAAAATAATAATTCGTAGTCAAAATTGTCAGATTGGCTCAAAATTTTGAGATAAACTCAAAAAATTCACAAAAACACGAATGTGAAAGAGAATTTGCTATGTTTTTCTTGTTTGGTCTGAATTTAGAGTTAAAATTTACCACATTGAAAAAATTGTTCTCAAATTGAGTATGAATTTAATTTTCTTTGACTTGTTTTCTTTCATTACAAAATAAAATTTTCTTTCAAACAAAAAAAAGCTTCTTAGTTTGAAAGAAATTTTTTTTTGAATGAAAGAAATTATTCCATTACATCAAAGAATCGATATAAAAATTAACTGCAACAAATTTTAACCTAGTTGAGAGCGCCACCGTCTATGTGAATTAGCATTGGTTAAAATTACCCGCAACAATATTTCTCCAGCCTTTTTTTCTGTGAATAAAAAATTTCTTTCGAACAAAGATAATTTTTTGCATCAACGATAATTTAATATATATATATATATATATATATATATATATATATGACTTGAAAGCATTTCATCGAATTCGATATACAAAAGCCGTTTTGCACTGAAATCGAACGAAAAGATTAATTTTCTTTCGTTGGCAGTTTACTTTTGAAAAAGCCTTTTCATCCTCGGACTATTAGTCTTTTTTTTTAAAGCAGATGTTTTGTCATGATGAAAAGACGTTAGTCAGGTGTTTATATTTTATAGTTGCGATGCAATTTGGGGGAGTAGAAGTTAATTAGATTTTTTTTTTATTGGTTCTTTTTTTTTTGATTTGTAACTTTTATATATATAAAAGAGGTTGTTTACCTTGCTACAGGAGTCTTTGACAAAGGTTTATGCTTGCGGAAATTGGAAATGAAAATTACTTGTACTTAATTAGAAAGTTTTCTCTCTTAAATAAAATAATATATAATTTCTTTTTTCCATCAAAAATGATGGAAAAAAGAAATTATATATTTTTCCTATACCCTTAAGAGTATAAATCGTAATTAAAAAATCGAAAATATATTTTTTTTGTCACTATTTTGGATAGGAAATTATAGGAAAAAGAGAAATATAAAATTGATAATAAATTTTTTAGAATTTTGCTATTTACAATTTTTATATTTAGAAAATTATAATTTTTGCAAAATTTTTTTATAGAGAAAACTATTTTTAGGGAGGTAAACTTGTTAAATTGTCGTAATTTTATTTTTAGTAGTGAAAAACAGTTTTAGTCAGACTCGCGACTTCTCTAAATTTTTGTAATGCCAGTTTCACAGTAGTAAAAGCCAGTTATAGTCAGACATCTCTCTCTTTTCCCTCTTTCTCTTTTTTAATTTTTCTTACAATTTCAGTAAAAACTGTAGTCAAAAATCATTTTTCAATAATATTTTTAAAGTTCTTGTAAAAATTTTTTTTATATCAGTAGTAAAAGAAAATTTTTTTTTTCTTTTTCAAATGAATCAGTAGTATAAAAGTAACGAATCAGTCACACATAATTATTCTAAATTTATCATGAAAATTCGTTTTTATATAGAAAATTAAAAAAAAATAAGAATTAATTTTATTTATTTATTTACATTTATTAGGTATATTTTGAAAATTATATTTAAAAATAAATTTAATTTTTAAAAAACTAATTATTTTCTTAATTTCTAATTAATATTATTATTTCAATAAATAAAAAAAAAAAATTAGAAATTAATTCTATATTATTTTTTCTTTTTCAATATAAAAGCAATATAAAAGCATTTAGACCAGCTTCAGCTTTATACCTAATTTAAAAAAGCTTTTTCTTAACTTCGACGCATTTTAAGGTAAGACAATATCGATATAATGCGTTGCAACTCAAGTATAGAAGTTTATAAAACTTATTCTTTTCTTTCTTAAAATATAAGATTTTTATCTTTTTATTGTGCTTCAATTTTTTTTTTTTTTTTTTTTTTTTTTGTATTCTCAAGAAACTTTTAATAAATTATTGTTTTATTAAACATCGTCTACACAACACAGAAAATTAAAAGGCATTAAAATAAGCTGCAACGCTTCTTATTTTAATCCAATTTTGCTTATTTTAATCCATTTTGATATTAAAATAAGCAAAATTGGATTAAAATAAGAAGCGTTGCAGCTTATTTTAATGCCTTTTAATTTTCTGTGAATGTGCTAAATAAAAATTTAATAATAATTTTTAATACGACATGTCTAAAATGTGGGGAAAATTTATGCTTACCAATTTGAATAATTTTTATTGTTTCTAATTATTAAAAAAAAAAAACATTTTTCATTTTAACTGAATTACTTTTTAAAAAAACGAAATTGAAAATTGTTTTTCATTTTGAGAGACAGAGAGCTGATTAAAATCTCATTTTGAATTGGCTTTTGTGAATGACGTAACGGGTTTATGTAACATAAATGTCAATCTGTAATGAGAACATAGGGCAGATCGATTTTGTGCGGTTAAAGGCCATGAGGGAGAATTCTGGCCGTTGTATATTGTATAATGCTAACAACGATAAGAATCCCTTTCAACTCAAGCGGAGAGTTACCATGAACTTCGGTTGCGGATTCAAGGGGTTTCCGAAATGGCTGCTGCTTCTTCGGTTTAACGCGTTCTCTCTCTCTCTCTCTCTCTCTCACTCTTTTCCCCTTTCTCTTTCTAAGGTCGGGTAACAGCAATCTCGCTTGCTGACTCAGCCGGAAGAAAGTCGAAGAACAAACTTTAACGCGACTCATCCTTACGGCTGTTTCGCCACGTAAGACCCTAACTTTATTAGTGTTGACGTGCCAGGTCACTGATGAACATGAAGAGTTGAAAATCAGAATTAGAGTTCCTTGAGTAAATTCATTTCGTCGCGTGACACTGCCGAGAATGATTCTTTAAGGGGTCTTTTAAATTTTTTAGGACACCCGTGCAGAAATTTCCCTACTAAGTTCTACTTTAAGTAAGGCTCTCTCATGGCCCTTGCCAGTTTTTTCACAAGTCCGGCATTTCCCAGATTAAACGACAGTTACTTGGTTTTATGCCATGTTTGCAATATAACCTAGAAAACTACATATCAAGGCAGTGGAAAGGCCCTTGCCAGTTTGTCCACAAGTATGACATTCCTTAGAGCAACTCGGTCTTGCCATGGTTTTATGACATAACCTAAAAATAAAAAGTCATTTTTAACACCAAATAAAACTATATAATAAAATTAAATTTCCATGAAAAAAAATTTTATCAAGTAATAATTATTTTATAATAATATTTATGAATTTTAAATTATTTAAATAACAATTAATTAATTAAAAATAATTTATTTATTAAAATTATTAATTTATTAAAAAATTTTATATTTTGTAAAATATTCATTTCGAAATATTAAAATTTCACAACTATAGCTGTAATTGTAGTGTGACAATTTGGCAATAAAGTAACTGTATATTATTAGTAAATTCGGTTTTAAAAATTTGAAAAAATTTTTTTGAAAATTGGAAAATTTTTAGGAAATCTATACCTACCAATAATAAAATTCACGAAAGTTAGTGTCAAAAATATTTATGATACATATTCAAAATT